CACACACACACACACACACACACACATAAATAAATAAATTTTAAAAAAGAAATGCAGCTAGTCATGATGATGTACACATAGATATGATGCATATGTTTTGATACTTGAATAACTAAAATTAGATTTTTCATAATTTTATGTAAATTTAAATTCCATTTGTATGTGTTTTTCATAGTCATGTGTACAGATGCTGAAAGGTACATTTTTTTTCAATTTCCTGAACAATTCCCCAGAAACCAGTAAACAATGACGGGGGCTGAGGAGACAGCTCAGCAGCATAAGCACTTGCCTGGCAAGTGCAAGGTCCTGAGCTCGATCCCAGGTACAGAAAAAAAAATAATAATTAATTCAAAATGATTAGGGTCTTTTTGTTTTGTTTTTGGGGTTTTTGGGGGTTTTGTTTGTTTGTTTTTGTTTTTTTGGTTTTTGGGGGGTTTTTTTGGTGGAACAGGGGATTGAACTCAGGCCCTTGTGCTTGCTAGGCAAGCACTTATTCTACTGAGCTATTTCCCCGGCCCTCAAAATGATTAGTTCTAAGAAGAGGAACTAAGGGGTCAGACAAGGGAATTAGGGTGACTTGAAGACATAAATGGGTTCATGGAGCTTCAGGAAACTATTTCTCTACTTGAGTTCAGGCTTGGAATTTTCCATTCAAAAAGGAACATTACTAGCCAACGATGATGATACAGGCCTATAATCCCAGCACTCTGGGCAACTGAAGCAGGAAAATCAATTCAAGCCTCTTGTCGGAAACTTAGTGACTTAGCCAGGCCTTGTCTCAAAACAAAAGCAAAAAAAACAAACAAAAAAAAAAGGATGGAGATGTAGTTTTGTGAGAAGGCCCTGGGCTCACCTGCCAGGACTTCATGAAGAATACAGAAGAGAGCCAAACTGGAGGCAGGAAGACCAACTAGGAAGCTAAAGCCAAAGTAGTTGTAAGATGACATTTAGCAGTTTAGACCATTGATAGTACTTGCTTTCTCTATGTGGAGAGACTGCAAGTGATTGTACTTTCTTTTTCTTTTTTTTTTTTTAATCCATATATTTCAGTTTTCCACAATGATCATGTGTAGAGGGGCCTCAATGATGTTTTTTAGTTCAAAATCAATGTAACACTGCTTCAAGTGAGTCAGGATTAGATACTCCCAAGATGCTTCTGAAAAGCTTGATCTACAGCTGCAAAATGAATCCAAGGTGAAATCAAACATAAGCCTTTCCACAGCTTATGATTTCCTTCTTTTCTTCACTCTTTGCATTAAGTTTGCAGTCTGTCACAAATTACACTCTTCTGGCACTGACTACACAGCAATTTAACATAAAGACACTCAGAAATCTGCAAGCTGTTTCATTCATTACTTGCAGTGTAGATAATGAGGAAATTCCTCAACAATGAAGGAATAAATACCAGATAAATTACTCGAGTCTACACTAAAAGCATTCTCTGAATTTAAAGATTAAAAAGTTCTGTAAAGTGGGGAGTCAGGGTAGGGATGCAGCTCAGCAACAGAGCAGTCACAAGATCGTGGATTGGATGTCCAGAACATTCACAAACACTGCTGGGAAAAAAAAAAAAAAATCTCGAAAACATTTTGGAGGACTTTGACTTAAAGTCATGGTGAACATTTTCTGAAATAATAAATTATTACTATTTACGTTTTCTGAATATTTTTCTAGTTTTCAGAGGGGCACCAATGAAAGCCTAGAAAGGAATAGAGGAGAAGAGCCGCTGCGGACTCAAGGCCAAAAGAACCGTAACCAGGCTCCAAGGTCCCATTTTCTCTCAAACCTGAGGAAACGCAAGATGCAGAAGCTAAGACAGCCCAGTGCATCCGCACCCCTTCCCTTCCTCAAGATGGCGGCCCTGGCGACAGTGTGGGCATGTCGCGCAAAGCATTCTGGGAGCTTAAAAGGCCCGAGCTGCGGCTGCCAAACCGGAAAGGGAAGCCCTGGGCCTGAAGAGCCGGCAAAACGACGTTTCGACGGTGTTTCGCCGGGCGAACCGACGTTTCGACGGTGTTTCGCCGGACGGTGTTTGGCGGGTCGCTGAAGTCGGGCCAGGCGGGCGGGGCGTGCCGTGATGCCGGAACTGGCGGTGCAGAAGGTGGTGGTCCACCCCCTCGTTCTGCTCAGTGTGGTCGATCATTTCAACCGGTGAGGCTGGCAGCGCGGGGCGGCCTGGCGGGGCCGGCGGCGCCAGGCCGCTGAGTCACAGGCGCGCTGGGGCCCGCGCGGCG